TCGCAAATCGTACACTTCGAGAATTGTATACGAAAAATAAATTGACAAAATATACGTTTCTCCTATTTTTTTGTATAATATACGTATTTCTTTCTCTCTGTTTCTTTGTTAATTCAATACTTTATATAAATGATAAATAAATAATTTGTGAAAATATTATAAAATTTATTTATACTAATTATCACGTAGAAACTATTACTACAGAAATTACTGTTGCTATAATTAATATGAATATACGGTGTTTATATATAAAAGACAATTCAATTGTTTCTATCGCAATGCATTGCATACTTAATACGCAATGTGCTCACGAAATTTGTTTGTAAAATCTGTATTAGATATTTGACAAAAACATGCTACAAAATAATTAGTCCATTGCTCGTATGCCTGCGCATAGGCCTTGAACTTATTCATGCTAATTTCTTACGATTTATATGTAGTTGCGTTAATGCGATAACGCCTCTATGCGTTGATCGAATGACGATTGCAATTGGTTGTTTGGTGATTACAGAATTGAAAAAGTAGGTCAGGCTCATATAAGCTTAAAAATAAGTTCTTGATACTGAAAGTGAACAATCTTTCCTCTCTTTCATATTTTTTCCACTTTAAAATCAATTTTAAGTTGACGTTGTATTTACTCCTACAAATAATGTTTTAAATAAAGCAATAAAATTGCTATTAATTATTTATTAATTTAAACATACTATATCTAACAATATGCTTAGTTTGTTTCATATTGGTAATTAAGGCATCAGTGCTATCAATCATTAAAAACATATGGAACAACATATTTTGTAAATTGCACTGTGTATTGCACAAAAGAAATTGATAATTCATTCAGCAATTTCAATATCCAAATTGATTGACAATGGAATGCTGCAAGAATCGTAAAATATTCAAAGTTACCTAAATGAAATTTTAAATAAAATATAAACAAATGATAATCTTTATTACCTAATATAAAAAACATAATTATAATAAATTTGGCTATTGAGAATTAACACTGTACTATGTGCGCAATAAAAATTTCAACATTATTAAATTATATCTTACATATTTAAATACTAATTTGTATACATGTTTCAGCTAACTTTTTAGCCATCTTCAGTACATACAGATGAATCCATGTAATTAAATAAGCGATGAGCATAAGACGGATAAAGCTACGGCATCCGTATATTTTTCATTATTTTAGTATTCGCAATGTTTCCATGTGAGGTGGTATAAATAAAATATACCTGCTGATCTTATCAAGATTGTTGTTGAGTTGCGCTTCTTTATTAATGTCAGCACTCAGCCAATCATGGGCTTAATCACGCGGTGACCTTACACCTTACAGTTTCGTGAAACATGCAAGATCGACCACGACAGTTCGATCAGTATTTCGATCGCCGGACGAGCATTCCAGCAAATTGCCTTGTAAATCACGTCTTGCACGCCTCTTGTTAAATTTATGAATCACACGCGAGCCTTCGTGATCGACGATCGATGGAGAGTTTTCCTCGTCGAAACAAAAGGCGACGCGATTATTGTAAATAAAATTGGCACGACAATCCGACACGCGCCTTCTTACTGCTATAAACAGTACAAACGTTGCAAGACAAGGCGCGATGCACTTGGCGTGCAGGTGGATACGTTTCTATGACTGTCTGCCTACAAAATACTGGCAACACGACGATAAATTTTCGGTCGCTTTCGTGCAGAAGCTGCCGGATGCGCCTCCTTTGTAACTTGCGTAGTTAACATTTCAAGCTTGATGAAAGTTTTCGAGCTTCGACGAAGAAGTAATGTCGCGATGCCGAGCACGTGATAACAGAAGAAATAACAGAAGAAACAAGAAAATTTCTTATAAGAATTGTGAGAGAAAGCTTTGATATTTAAACGTAATTTTGTAGGAAAAATACAGCACAATTTTCAGATATACATATATACTTTGTATAGCCACATTACTTTTTAAAGATCACTAAAAAAATAAATAAGATTATAATTATATATTTTTATACTTCTATTACATGTTGTTAAATATATCATGATAATACATATTTTGCGATGTTACTGAAATGTCTTACGGTAAATTGTTTTTAATCTAATCGATATTTAAAAGCAATTATACAAATAATGAAAGAAAAATGATAAAATTATTAATTAGAAATATGTTAAGAAGGGCTATGAATCATGAGAATAAAAATAAAATATAAACACTAAGCAAAATATATTAATAGGCGCTAAATAAAATACAACAAATTAAAACGGCACGGGCGTTTCAACTCCGATCGGATCATTCTCAATGTTAAACATATAATATCTTTCAATAAAATATTTGTATAAACATATTTAAAATATCAACGGCTTAATACTAAAAGTTAATAAAAGGATAGACTTCTGCTTGATATAAAAAATGATGGTATAATTGCATTCTTTCTTAACATATTTCTAATTAATTTATTATTTGAACCATTATGTATGATAAAATTATTGGTTTGGCACCGTAAAATTAGTTTGGTTATTACTTATTCACTATTCTTTTCCAAAGAATCATTTTTTTAAAGTATTAAGTTTTCTTCTTATTTCTAAATTTACGACAAATATTGACAAACATCAAGCGCATCCGGCAGCTTGATTATTGCAATTATGAAAAGAAAAGTATCAAAGTTATTAAAAATATAATTGCATAATAATTATTCTCTGACAATTATAATCAAAGAGAATTGAATAGAGCGGAATGTTCATATATATATGTATTGCGTATAAAGTCACCTGCTGACAAGGGACTAACTTGGATTGGACAAGTTAGTGAAAATCCTTGATATCAAAGTAAAAATTGGCAACATAAAATATAAATTAAGAAAAAAGGTAAGACTGTATAGATTCCAAGAAATTTGGTATTATAGTGCATGGTAAAAGTTCTCAAACGGTTATCTGATAACTTTTTTAAAACTATTACTTTTGTTTCAAACATTTTTTAGATAAATCAATACTTTTTGAGATATTAGCTGTTTGAGAACTTTTACCATGCACTATGATAAACTTAGAAACAAAAAGAAAACTTAATACTTTTAAAAAATGATTTTTTGGAAAGGGGAATAGTGAATAAGTAATAATCAAACTAATCGTTTGTTATAATAAAATATAAAATAACCAAATTTATCATTTTTCTTCATTATTTGTATAATTGTTCAATAATGTAATTAATATAATAATTTTAGTACTAATGTAATTAATAAAAAAATGTTATATTAGATTCTTTCCGTAAAGCATATATACACACATATACATATTATATTAAAAGAAATTAATTAACATTATGCGCATAATGCGTGAAACGGGATACATCCCTATAATATGAATTATTGAGAAGTATGACCATTAAATATTAGGTTAAGTAAAAAGTCATCGCGTTTTTTTAAAAGACATCTATCAGTAAAAACCGCAATTACTTTCTTACCAACAATATAAATATATCTTGATAGAGTAAAGTTTCAGCTTTAAAAATCTCTTTTTTAAATTATACGATACGACAATTTTTAATGGAGTTATGAGCAATTAAAGTCAAAATAATTCTTTTATTTAATCCGCGATAACTCAGTAATCAAAAGTCGTAGGAATATAAAAAAAAAACGATTTTGTAGGGAAAGTATCAAGCTTTCACGATAGGTAATCGAAAATTTTCTCAAATTCGTTTTGGACACGTTACAAATCCACAAAGTGAGAAGAAAATTTTTCGTCTTTTTCAGCTCGTAGTTTTTGGTATGTAAAAATTATCAAACTCATATAAACTTAAAAAATGTGATAAGCTTTTAAAAGTAGAGATTTCAAGCTTTAAAACCCTTTTTTTAAATTTGAATTTCATTCATTATTGACGAAGATATTGTATATATAACTTTGAGCTAAAAAATACGCGATGACTTTTTACTCAACCTAATATAATGAGAATGTGATTGTAAAAGATAATAAAATTTAGCATCAGACTTGCAAAATAGCGCTGAAAGTAGTATACAGAAAACTACAATATATTATATTCATCTAAGGACTTACCGCTCTATCCAATCCTCTTTAATTATAATAATTTTTCTTATGTTCATAAATTATTTGTTGCAAATTCTAAAAGTGAAATTTATGAACAATGAAAAAAATTTCAAGAAATTACTTTTTAGAAAGAAAAACAATAAGAAGAATGAGCACAACAATTTTATAAATTAAAACATTTTTTGCAGTAATTTCTAAAAATGTTAATTTACAAATAAATTCTTTTTATTATTTTATGTGAATAGTAAAAACCCAAACAAATATTTAATTTCAGCGCATGTAGGTCAATTAAAATAATTGCGGGGTTTTCAGATGAGGCATTTCATGTAACCCATATTCGGCAATAGCATGAAACCAACTTTTTACTTTAATAATCTCGTGATTGCGAAATAAGTATATATACTGTAAAGAAAGTATTCAACAAACATTCCCGTAATGTTTTTCGAATCAACGGGGGAAACTTGAACAGATCGTTGATATGACTGCAGTAAAAAATTATAAAAGATTGCTTCAGATCTAGACATGTAACGTTATAAAAGCTAGTGTTATAAGATTATAACTGAATTTTGCATTTAATTACAGATTTGTTTGGGAATTTTTTAAATTCACTATATTGATATATGAGAATCTATATTTGGAATAGATAGAAAGGAATGGTGCAAATCAGAATGCTTTGGAAAGTTTCCGGATAATATGAAAAGGAGTCAGATTCAGACTATGTGTTAGGTTTATAAATTTTGCTGGTAATGCTCAGCAAAATGGGTTGACTAATAAAACGTCTAGTCGCGTCTTTCGAGGCGATCGAAGTTCAACCAGCTAGCTTTGTATTCAGATCTCAAGGAACGTGGTAAAGTAACCACCCTATGGCAGAGCATTTTCTGCTTTAGTAGTGGCAGCACGTAGGTTTCGTAGTGGGGATGCTTCGAAGGCTTAAAAGGCCTTCCAACGTCCTTGTAACACGCAGTCTTGGAATCAAACATACTAGTATTCCGCGTAAGTGGATCGAAAGTGCGAAGAACAATCTCATTTAACTTTGCCGTCGCAAATTTAGTCAGACTTTCATCGAAGTGATCTGGTGTATTGTAAGCCGAGATTAATTCGTTAGAAAAACGAAGGGAATAGTTTGAGGTAGTAAAAGCATCGAGGTGAAGAAATTAAAAATCTAAGCGGGAAAGAGTGATTTTTTTCTCGCAAATCTTTGCTAAAGTTTTGATTTGTGATTTGTGATCATACAAGTGATAATAATTAAATATCATTTGCGTAACCATCGAGAAACCATAAGAAGTGAAATGAGTCTCCAAATAATTTTGTCTGGTCTGTTAATCGTATCAATCTTTTTGCCACCGATGTCCGCTGCCCTCACAACTTTTGGGAAGAGTAATACACAGAATCAGAACTCGAATCCACCGCCACCACCTACACCAAGTATGTAATAAATAAAAATTAAAAATAATATATTTGTAACATAATGCTTTTAAATAGTTATATATATTTTAAAGATAATTATTAAATAACAATTTATAACATATTTTCATATTAATTTCATCTTTCATAATACAGTTCAATCTAAACTCTATTTTAAGATAGATTTGTAGATAGTAGATAGAGAGATTTCAATGTATGTAATGAGTCTGTTATATTATCTTCTAATAACGTAATGTTAGAAAAACAAAAATGCTAATCTATTCTCTATATATCTTTTATTCCTTATTTCATTAATGTAAATCTTTTAAAATTTTTCAAGAATTATAATTCAGCTGTATTTAAAATTAGACAAAAATACTCATTACAAATAATACTTCTATAGTTACTATATGTACATAAACTTAATTATATTGTGGATATTACATAAAATGTAATCTTTATTAGGCGTAATATTTGTATTAATGCATAAATCATGATACTGTTATTTCAGCAGATTTCAAAACTGTAGCACAGTTACGAACACGTTTTAGAAGCACTAATCGACATTTATAGGAATATACAAATTAATATCTATTAATCACTCACTGCTTAAAATTGTGTAGATTTAAAAAAATTTAATGCTTGATTGTCAAAGTTGAACCGAGGTGCAGATAAATAGTAATGGTTTACTAAATGTCAGACTTCTAATCTGCATGGTTTTCAAAGATCATTATAACCATTATAATTTTTACGTTATTTGACACTATACACTTGTATAATTAAACAATTTAAAATTAAGCAAAAATTGTATTATAAAGATAAAATATTATACAAGTGTTTCACGATAGTTCCGTCTTATTCGTTAATAAAGGAAAACAGAACGAAAAGATTCTTCGAATATGTAAATATCAAGTAAAAATTCTCTGTATTTATAAAATGATTATATTAAAAAATATATTAAAAACATATATTAAAAAATAAAAATATTAACATAAAGAATTATAGAAGATTTATTAAATAAGTTTAATATAGAGAAAAGCTTGATATACAAGACATTCTGAAATTCGTAAAATTAAAATATTACAGTAAGAAAGTTCTTAAAAAAAAAATTAAAAACTATTTGACATTTTTCCATTCCAAATAGTAGTTTTTGAGATATAAAAATTTAAAATTGATTATTTACAGATTATGATTAAACGATTGTTTGACGCATCGATAATTGTGATCGCGCGTGATGACTTTCTTGCTGTAATATTTTGATTTGCAAAATCTGTAAAATTTTGAGACATTCTATACATAAGAATAAATAACAAGCATAACGAATGCTTTTGAATTCTGCAACGTCCCACTCCTGAATTGATTACTCAGTTATTATCTAGATATAATTTCTAGTAATTTGCTAAAATAATAATATCGCATAAATTTTTATGAAACTAAGAATGCATTGAACTAGTTAAAGGTCAAATAAAATTATAGTCTCTTACATAAAGTGATATTATACATGGTATAATACAATTGCAGCTGGTAAAGCTCGCGAGTGTAAGATGGAAACCGATTGTGCTGGAATTCAAAATACAACGTGCATGTCAGATCGCCGAGATGGAAGAACTCGATGTCTTTGCGCCGATGCCTCAGCACCACTTAATGGTGCATGCACTTATAATTCCAAAGGTAAACCAATTTTTACCAGAAAATTGATTTTAAATTTATGAGCAAATATATTAAAAATATTTTTTAATAGTCTTTAAAAACGCTGTATATATATATATATATATATATATATATATATA